TTAAACTAAAGAAAAATTGAGAGATAAATAAAACATATGATAATGACATATCAGGACTCTATTGAGTAGTCCTCAAACCTAAAATCTTAGATGAAGTACCATTAGTAAGAGTAACACTGTGTGGGGAAGCAATAGAATGATGAGTAGAGAAGACACTAGATGAACCAATCATGTGGTCAGAAGTGCTAGAGTCTATGATCCATGGACTACGGGTGGAGAACAGTAAACAAGTGGAAGCAGTCCCTGACTAGGCAAAAGTAACAATGGAGGAAAATGGAGCAGTTTGCTACCGAGACATGAACTGAGCATCCTCCTTTAGTGTAATAGTAATTAACTCAGAGTCAAGAGGAGTCGACCGAGATATGAGAGCAGGTAGAGAGGAAATGTCATCTTGATTGGAGACTTGTTTAGTAGCGATAAAGGGTTTGTTATGTAAATTCCAACAATAATCAATAGTATAGTTTGGATTACCATAATGAGTGTATGAACGAGGATCAGTACAACCTCCACAACCTTCACTGTGGCCTCTAGTACGGTCTCCACAACCATCACGATTACTATGGTGACCTTGAGGACTATCACTGTTGCCATTAGGGCAGTAAGAGCTTAGCTGTCAGTGGACAAGCCATGATCAATACCTGAAGTTGAAGAGCCAGTAGACAAAGTAGCACGCAATAAATGGGAGAAAACCTCATGAAGAGACGTAAGATTGGAACCACCCAAAATCTAAGAGTGAATAGACTCATACTTAGGTTTCAAACCAACTAGGAAATGAATAACATCCAAATCCTTATGTTGTCGCTGCAAAACTGCAACATCGGTGGTGAATAGGTGGTAGACTTGTAATTCCTCACAAATGCCCCTAACTTGAGAGTAATAGTCTTCTAAACTTATAGTGCTCTGCTCAAGATGATAATATTGTTTGCACACCTCATAAACATGACTAAAAGTACGTGTGCCATTATACACGATCGTCAAATGATCCCATATTTCTTTGGCAATGTCAAGATAAAGTAAAGTAGAGCTAATACACGACTTGATGCTATTTAATAGTACTGAAATAATTTGGGTATTCTCTTGTTCCTACTGATCGTACCTAGGGTCGTTTTCCTTGGGTTTAGTTTCCACAAAGTATTAAGAAGAACCGTGAGAGAAAAAGTAGATGGTAAAGGTGGAGTAATGATAGACTGGTTATCAATCTTGGGTTCCATAGTGATACTATAGAAAACTAGACCAAATAAAGGTAGAAGCTATCACTAGAATAGGGCCAAATCAATTAACGAAGGCTAATCTGGACGTAAAGAAGTCTTGGGATTGGTTGAAAATCACATAAACTAAGGCAAATTGGTACAAATAGGTCTTGGAACTGAATTGGAGGCACTAAATTGACTGGACAACTGCTGAACCGTTTGGAAAATCACTGGAACATGATAGACTTATGACAGAATCGATTGGATAGCTATTGAATCAGCTTGAACCTGTTGGAAAATCACTGGAACAGGATATAACCGAGATAGAACTAGTTCAAAAAGGGCTAAACCGGTCCTGAATTTGCTAAAACAACACGTGAACTAGTTTGAACCACCAACAGGGCTGGACTTGAACCATGTTGGGCCTGGACCAGACTAGGCTCAACAGTAATGGACCTAAACTCTTTGGGTTTGGTTTGGACTTGAAACAAATATGAGCTTGAACTTGGATTGGGCTTTGAAAATTTTTTAAGCCCATAACCTTGGAGGAGCCAATCCGACCATGTTGCTTGGAATCGTCTTGTCCACTATGAGGTTTTCAATGAAACCCTAGCTCCAACAGCGTCTCACACCAATGCCACTATGACGTCGCTAGCAGCCAAAACCAACCTTCGACAGCAACACCAGGAACCTCACTGAACTTTGGTGACCCCAACTCAATAACCAAATCGATCACAGAATACAAAACACACAACAACACTGTGACGACATACGTCGCCGACAGCAACCATAACACACACCAAATCACAATTGACCTCCACAACATACCTACAAGGTTTTTGACATTAAACCATCACCCACGACCTTAGACCATGGTCATGGTGGGTTACACTATATGCTAGACCAACGAAAATCAGAACAAAAAAGAGAAAAGAAAAGAAAGAAAAGATGAACACAAATTTTTTATATCAAATTTTCAATATCAAAATTAATTCTCAGATCAAATTTGAATCAATTATGTTTGGATACCATGTTAGGTTTAGAGAGTTAACTCAACACAATATTAGAGAGACGGATAGTGGTCGAACTTAACCTATCTCTCACTCACAACTTGTATTTATAGTTATTTTGTAAACGTACAAAGGATGAATATATCCTCCAAGTGGTATACCTATTACAATTATATTAAATAGTGAACATAGCAATACTCTCAACAGTGGTGATTATTGAATTTTAGTGTATATACACAAGTTTACCAAATAATTTGGACATAAGGCTTGGTTTGGTTTGGTTATACACAAGCTTATCAGAACTCCAGGTGCCCAGCCCAATAATGGAAAAAAACAACTGGACTAACAAAGCATTTGTAAAGGGAGTTTGTACCCCACATACAATGACTAGGACCACCCATTGTTAGTTTCTATAGCACTCGTTGTAAATTGGCATTAAGTTGGATGCTCTAACGTGGTACTAGGATTGAACTTAGCATCATTAGTGGACCAAGTCTCATATCCTTTTGAATTTTTTGATATGCACGTTTATTTGTTTGGTTGTTAGCCCTACGTGTGATCTTGGGTTCCACGTGAGGGAGTGTGTAAAAGGAGTTTGCATCCAACATCAAGTTATTAGGACTACTGAATGTTGGTTTATATGACTAAGGGGTCCCTTCAATCATTATCAATTGATTTTGAGTTAGATGCTCTAATATCACCAATTTCCAACTCTTAAGTACTAGAAATTTAGTTGCCATTCAAATTGTTTGGCCTCATTCTTTGTCATATATAAGTGATCGTGCCATCTCTTATTGCTAAGTTTGCAAATATGCATCCCTTGCTCCTCGTACTTCATTCCACCGCAGGAGATGCAAGAATGAGCTAATAAAAGGATGTACATATGCCGTTAATACCATATACTTCTTTAGATGTGTCACAAATTTCATCTTTCCATGATCCTTTTTATTTGTCGTTGATCTTTTCCGAGGTTTGGCTAATTTTTACAAGAAAATCATAAATGCTAAATTTTTTGACATCTGTGATGACCCTTTTTCTTTCCACGATTGGTGCAGGTGTTAAGAAAGAGACCTACTGTTACTATTCATGGGTGTCACATTCCTAAAGGTTTTGCTGATATAGCTTTTTCTTCAAATGATGAATCGAGGTGGGTAAAAGGTAACTAGATTTTTGCAAGAAAAAATATTTACTCGAGAAGTGGATGGTTGGTGTCTCTGGAAAAACAAAATAACTCCATCAAATTTAAGGATGTAGATTAACTTTCTTAATTTCTTAGGTCGCATGAATTTTACTTAGCATTACATAAATGAAATACATAATATTATGTAGAATTGTGTATCAGATTTTGTTTTAGAAAAAGGAAGTCACATGTAGAACTATGAGTGGGTTCTGGTGTTTCACAATAAGATGCACTTGTGAATCTTCAAAGGCTAGAATACGGATTGAATGATACATGGAAGACAACTTGTTTGATAGTGTGGTAACAATAGGCTTATTGAAGATGATACCACTTCCATAAAGACTTATGAGGGCCTGTTATTGATTGTCTAGAGAGTTTTCTTGCTGAAGGGTGTCTGCATGCACAAACTGTATGCTCTGGTTTTGTTGTAATATATTAAGTGCAGTTCCTAACTCCTGGTTTGTGGGAGATGAAAGATTAGACCCTAGATTGAATAACTAAGAAATGTTGGAAAGCCCCCGGAATGAGGAGTGCTTTGGTCCAAACCAGAGAAGACCCTCCTTTGGGTTTTCTTTGATATCTCCCTCATTTCTTAACCTTTTCAATGATTCATAAACCAAAATCTTTGTTTTTGAATTCTCGATCTTCCAGTACAATCAAAACGTTGCTCCGGCCCTTGAAATTAATTTCAAAGTTTGCAACTTCCATGGCCTCAAACCAGAAGCTCTACAATTTCATAATTGACCACTTACACATCATTTTTTCTGAAATCCAACACCAGATTTGATTCCTTGGTCCCAAAAAACTTTAAGAGTGAACTTCCTTTTGAATCAAAACACAAGATCAAAGAATACTCAAAAATAAAGTGTGTGGCAAAATTTCGGGTTTTCTTGTTCTTGCACTTCCACTCAATCCTATGGCCAAACAACCATCTGTAGAGGTTAGAAAACTTATTTAGAACCTATTTGATGTATAAAACTGAAAATGAACATATGAAATCGTGTTTGGCCCTTTTTTTGAAATTCGGGTTTTACATAATTTGTTTTTAGTCTTGCCATTTACAGAACTTGTTCTTAAGTTTTCAGAAACCTTACTAATGGTTCTTTTGTAGAGATTGAGCTCTTGCTTGGACAAAACCTCCATTTTCGTTTGCTTTCTCTCTTATTCCTCTCTCTTTCTCACTGAATTGGTGCCCTGAACTATTGCCCAATCCGCATTTCTATAGCCTAACAAGACTTGGGAACCAAGGTTGTGCATGGCAATGGTCATGTGGGTTGAAATTAAAGATGACACCTCCTAGTTGAGTTTGGGTCATTCTAATTGGATTCTTTCCAATCTTATTATCTTCTTTTTTTAAAGGTAATTCCACAAATATATCTACCTAATTTTCTTGGATTGAATGTCGGATGCCTTTTCCGGACAGGGTATGCCGGATCAAGATAATTACTCTAAGTTGATATCGGAGTATATCGGAGGTTACACTAATGCTTTAAGTGTTCAAAGGTTGTTGTGAAGCAATTATTTTGTTTTCTGATTTCATTTATTTGACCTTTTTTTTACTTGTTTTTTCTATTGAGTCTTGAGTTTCATGATTAATAACTTGACATCTTTTTTCTATTTATGACCGGCTTCAACAGGTTATTTGCAGCCGATGTGTATGGTGCAATAAATGTGTGGGACAGAAGAATGAGTGATCTCCCATGTCTTGAGCTCACAACTGATTCCATTGGTGCTGTTAATCGTATTAATTGTATTAAGTTAAATGCGGAGAATCAGGTGAGTAAAATTGGATCTTCATTACGTCGACCATGATGTCTATATTCTTATTTGAAAACCATGAATTTCTGGTATTATCTCTTTCAAGTGATGTAAATTATTGGTATTTATTGTATGTTGTTGAATCTATCAGATCATTTTTGGAGCTAGCAAGTACGGTATTGTATATATGTGGGATCTTCGTGGAGGAAGATCAACTGCTGCTTTTCAAAGCCATAAAGGAGTAATACATTTGGAAACTTTTCTTTAACTATGTTCAGCACTGATGCTGTATTTATGGTCAAAGGTTACAATGAAGAACTATTGTTATGACTAGCTACATCAAGTAGCAAAATTATAATATTAGTTGATGAACAAAATAATTAAATATTAATAGGTTGTTACTTTATGCTAATTAATTCCACTATATCATGTTGTTGACCTCTATTATCTACACATTCTATTTTTTTTTTCATTTAGGTAGATTATTCACCTTTAGCATCTGTGAAATTGGCATGCGAGCTGGAGAAAATTGGGTCCTTGAAGGTAAGTAAAATTATCATGAGGCCATTTTTTTTCATTTTAGATTGTGTCCACAATTTGCCTTTATTTTTTGGTGTTATTGTCTACGAACAGAACACTTTCTTCTCCCCCTTCTCCAGTGTTTTTGTATAAACACACTGGCATCTCAATGGCACCCATTGAACAAGTCAGATGTGTCCCCACAACACCTAAAAGATGGAGTCAGTAAAATGGATTGAATCTTGAGAACTACTCACGTCATTTATTCTTATGGAACTTCTTTGTCATTTATTCTTATGAAACTTCTCTGAGGAACCTTTTCCATCATGAATGCTTATAGTGGTATAGGGATATGTACTTTTATGCAGCCCAAGAGATGTTCATAGTGCATGGAATTTTGTGGTTGTTGGATAAAGTAGCTGTTCTGATTCATGCTTTAAGATGGGCTAGTTCTAGAGTCAATCTAAATAATGATAAACAATTGTCCTTCTTAGGATGTCTGTTAGATCATAATTGAGACATTATTTATGACTTATCATTTTTTGCAATTTGAGTTCGTTTGAAATTCTAAATAGCCTTGTAAATGGTTCAGTTTTATGATTGAGCTATTTTGTTCTATTATCATACACCAAAAGATCTTTATGCCTCAAAGATGTGACTACTTAAAAATGCTGAATTACCAATGTGTCTATTGTAGTAAGTTATCAAGTTTAGATTTTTACATACTTTGATACATAACATTGTGATTGTAATGTCTAAACAATTTATGGATGTTGTGGTTTGTATTATTCGGTATTTGATTTTTGGCATTCAGAATAAGACTTTAGGGTCTTAATATTAAGGATTGATGTTTAGTTAGAACTTATTTTCCGGGTAAGCACGAATTTTATTTTTATGCCACGCTTTAGATTTTCTAATTCTCAAAGTCAAAAGGTTTCTAACTTTCTGTTTTCTATTGTGCATTGAAGGCATACCTGGGAGGCAAATGCTAAGATTGTCCAGCATTTGCCCTAAGGACACTTGTTAAGATGTGATTATTGACCTAGTTCTTACCAAAACGATAGGGCACTAATTCCTGAAGGTTTAGGAATTAGGATCATTACACATGTTATTGAGTTAATGGTACCCAAACTGCCCTTGTTTAAATTCTTTTTTTTTTTTTTAATGTTCAAATTGGCTTAAAAATTGAAGTTTGAATTGAGGGGACAAAAACAAATGAAAGATGAAGAATAGTGTTGATTGGAAGATGGAGGATAGATGAAAGCAACGATGAAGTTTCCACGACGATGATTCCTTGGGAAGTTAAAGATGATATTCAAGATTTTCAAATGAAATTGGAGGAGACATTCTGTACAGAGATCCTTATTGTCGGAGCCACAAATGGACTGGAATTTGCCTCTAATATAGGATGTGTATTCAAAGGATGGCTATCTAGTGATTGCCATGAAAATTTATTTTTTTGTGACCAAAAATTGAGAAGTGGGAAAGGATTAGAATATAGAATATATGGGTCAAACATGGTTAAAAAATAAGTTATAGGTGGTTAAAGGAAAAAAAAATATGGGATATTAATTGTAGAGTTATAATAAACTACTAATAACTACCAATAAAGGGAATGGACACTAAACCCACCCTCTCCCTTTATTAATAGTATAGATACTCAAGGGTATTTTTGTTCTTTGGTTTATTAGGTCACAATTAATTTCGGTTGACATCTTCTTTATTACACTTTTACTTAATTTCACTCGATGGTAGATCACCTATCGTGTATGGATGGTGGACCCACTTTATAAATAGTGAGTCCTACTTGAATCTATGGGAGGTGATCTATATTGAATGAAATTGAGTAACAGTGTAATGTAGAGGATTTAGATCCTATTAATGTAAGCTCATGAGGTAGAGAACCCTAATTTACTCTCCTTTCACTGCTCCAATTTAATGTTCTCTCTATTCTTTTTGTTATTGTTTGCTTTTGATTTAAATTGCTGTCATTATCTATTCCTGTACTCGCATGAAGAACTCTTGGGATTAAAGGATATCTTTCCTAATCAGCCCAGACCTTTTTTTATTCTAGTTTTGCTTGGAATTGAGGCCTTAGGTGCCAATGTAACCTTCTCAAAGATTACCCAATGGTTTAGAATCATATTTAAGGATTGTTAGAGCATTGCAGTTGGCTGTAGTTTTTTTCTCCTTATTATCTCTTCTTTCTTTGCTTTTTTTTTTTTGCTACCAGCATATTCAGCGTGACTGATGCAGGGCAAGGGGTGAAGTTAGCAATGTATTGAGTTTAGGTACTTGCTGGGGAAATAGATATTTTGATTCACGCATTGATATAGGTCTAGTTTAAGAGTCATTGTATATAACAACCTTTTGGAAGCCTAAGGTCAGTCTTTTTAAGCCGAAGCTTAGTGAGTCACATAAGATATCATTAATCAAAATAGGCCTATTCTACACAGTGAGGTATTGAACACCATCTCATCTAAAAGTTTAAGTTATTAGAGTGTAACTGAAGTATTGATACTTCAGCATGTCTTTCATCTTATGATTCAAGGTCGCGGTGTCGGCCGTCGACTCGGAGTGTTCTGAAACACAACGGTCGTGGCGCGATATCGGATGATACGACCTAAAAGAAAATGTTGTACATGACGAGAGGTTCATGTCATACCGTGGTGTCACTGAACCGTATTAGGCGATTCATTGATGATAATTCTACAACTCGGGATTGATTCGGACAAATCGGCCGAGTCGTGTGAGACTTGGGATTTATATGTATTGTGTAACAATATAGTCTTGGCAAGTATTGAGTCATATTGGACTCGGCCAACTCGTATCGGTATCGGCCGATATTTTGAATCATGTCTCATCTGTAGATCATATTTTGGGCCTAGTATGTGAAAATCTTTTACTAATCAAGGTGACGGTAGAGGACCTTCTGCTCTAATACCATGTTAGATCATCCAACTCAAAATCAATTGGCTACGAGTGGAGTAGCCCCTCAAGTATATAAACTAACATTAGGTGTCCTAATCATTGGATGTGGAATACAAGATCTCTTTACACCCTCCATCGCGTGGAAGCCAAGCTCAAACTTGAGGTTAATAAATGAACAAACAACCATGCAAAATGGAAAATTCAATGGAGAAAGAGACTTGATCCATTGACCAGTCAAAGCCTAACTCTGATACCATGTTGAACACTATCTCATCTTAAAGTTTAAGTGTTAAATGGTGTATCATAAGTTATTTATACTTCAACATGAGAAAAAATAATGTGATGTTTGTTGATGGTGTATCTTAAGTATTTATACTCAAAAATACTTACTCTGTTGCTCGGAATTCGTCCCCTTTTCAGCAGCCTATGGATTTTTCTTTTTTATTTTTGCAGCAAAATGTATTTGTTTGGTACTGGCTTGATCATTTATATTGGCTGTCTAACAATGTAACAAACAGACAAACCTGGGTTTGCCACCTATGAAGTATTATAAATTGCAGAATAAATATTTAGCAGGATGTGGCATCAATGTCAATCTTCAATAGAAAGTGCTTGAATTACAGATACTTTTACAGCTGGTCTCTAATTAAGTCATGATAACCAATATTATGCAGGCCCAATCAAATATTGTTTCAAAGGAGATACACTCAATTGATATCGATCCATCTTGCCCGTATCAATTGGCATTCCATCTTGATGATGGTTGGTAGGTTTGGAGATAAATTCAAGTGTTCTGTTTATAGTAGCTTGGCATTATGTTCTAGCATGTTGAAAAATCACCAAGATTCTTGTATTGATTTCTTTAACAGTTTCTTGTAGTATCCACAGTTTTTTGGCAAAGAAAGAGGTTTTAGTTCTATGATGTGTATAGTTCTAAGATTAACTGCAGCAACTGCAAAGTCAGCAGGACGAAAGGCTTGACAGGTGCAGTTCATGATTCAAAGGTTTTTGCCAATATGTGGCTCCTTGGGAATGACTTAGCAATACATACCAGTCCCATGACGTTGCTAAGGCCCTTTCTTTTCATGACCTTAACCCAGAAGCCAGAATAGAATTAATCATTGGCTGCAAATCAAGCTCTGAAAGGGTTGTGCATCAGCTGTCCTCTTTGCCGTAGTTACGTAGTAGGCTATAGACTGCAGGTAGATGAATGACATGGAGAAATGTTTCTGTATTGGTTGAGAACACTTCATGCCAATCAGAATGAGCAGAGTTTGTTAGATGGCTGTATGACTTCCTATGATCTATTATGCAGTGAGTTGAACTGTCACAATACAAGCTGTCAATAGTAAGAGCATAATCAAACCAGGAAGGTTGATATGGATTAGCATTAAGTTGAAAGGTATAACAAGAACTGATGAAGATGTTCCAAAAATTTTTGAGGTTAAACAGATCTGTAATCAGATAATTTAACAAAGTTTCACTGTTGGCGCTGCCTTTTTTTTTTGGGCTTCCTTTATAGTGGTAGGAAGGGGGGATTTTCAATGCACTGACGGTAGTACTAGTGATTTTTCTGGGGACTTATTCCCATTTAACAATTTCATTCTGCTTCTTGTAAAGGAGCTATTCTATAACAGTGAGGGGAATCTTGGCAATTTGTAACGCAGACCAGCTACCGCAACTAACTAGCTGCAGTACGGAACAAGTTGCTGTAGATGACAATATTGTTGTCTTCTGAGAATGATTAGTTTTATTAAACTGACTTTTAAGTGACCCAATTTTGAGATGATT